TCAATTGGGATATAAAATATCAGTATGCCGATCAGGGTTCATCCCAGATTCTTGCTCATTTTTCGAGAACAATGGACAATGTTGGAGGCTTCTGGAAGTTTGAATTGCCTTGGAAGGCAATTGGACAAATTCATTCCAGTCCCAATGAGGAACAAATGCTCTGGAAATTCCCCTCTTTCCCCTTCAGCCAATCAAAACAATTCTGGAATGCTAAATATTAACAATACAGATCAAAGACTGCACTAACATTTAAGAGACTTACCAGCAAAAGTTAAGAAAGGACATTTTGTAGTGCATCTTAGAGTAATTAGAGAACTATTGCAGTGCAGCACCATCAACAGAGATTCGGAGTCCTCTATAAACTGCGCAAGTAACTGCAAGTCTCTTCAGTCAATAAATCTGGAACTGTATGTTAGACTGATTAATTTAGTATCTAATTAGGTACAGACAACAAAGTAAAGGAAGGGATAAAAGATGAGATTGAGAGAGAGAGAAGTAACAAAGAAAAGGTTTTAACTATGTTTTTTAAAAGACTAAAATTAAAATTTATGAGTGAGATTGCCTCCTTGATAAAAGTAAATTTTCAGTCCTAGAGAGGTCGCTCGGCAATGCTTAATACCTGTAATTTCAGTTTTTGTTGTGCATTTATTGGGGAAATAATGTAAACTCCTGACTTCTCTGCATGTATTCAGATGCTGGAAATTGTTGTCTAATTTACCCTTTTACCCTATCCACATTATTCCACTGCAAATTCAAGGCCCCTATCATTGTTAAATAAGGTGCTGAGGTACACTAGAGACATCTGTGTCCAAATTACCTAGGATGACTAATTTCACCTGAATTACAAAGTCCAAAGAAATGCAGTTTGTTTGAGGAAGGAACATATGTGCTCACCAGTGTCTTGGAGGAGAGTGCCAGTGACAATGATATGAAAGACTAAAGATTATTAGAAGGGAGGATAGAGGACAACCAGGTAGCATTACGACATATTTTACATTATATTTAACTCACCAGGCATCTGAAAAGAGATGACTGATAGCAGTTACCTGTAGAGTATATCTCTAACTCACGCTTTTGCACCATTGGTAATTAGCTGAAGACTTTGCAGGGTGTAGTTTGTTCCCTTAGTTGTGGAATGGAGAATGATCTAGGGAATACCAAATATTTGTAAACCAATCAAAGAATTTACTTTTCAAAAACCTGCAATCTAACTTAGAAAATGTACCTACAGATTAGAGTGTGGCCAGGTCCTCCAGCACCTGGAGAAGCAGAGCTGCCAGTATTGGGGATGAAATTTAGTGCCTGCAGTAGAATGGTTAGCACAGTCTCAACAGATGTTACATCTTTTATTTATTTTTGACCTTCATCTTTAATTCATATCAAGCATCTTTGAAAGTGTGTCACCTCTCTATGCAAAGTGTTCTTTATGCCCTATGAAAAAAACAAATCGCACCTTTGAAAGCTACCTTGAGTAATTTTGCAAATATAAATATATCTGAGAAATTTATGGAAGTGCTCCTCTTTGTTATGAAACCGCCTAATAAAGCAGTGATAGTTGGGTCGGTTGAAAAATTATAAAGGAAGCTGATGTTTTTTTTATTCTCAGGGTAGTATACTGACATGGATAGAAAACTAGCTGTCAGACAGGAAACAAAAATGGAGAATAAATAGGTCTTTTTTGGAGTGGCAGGCAGTAACTAGTGGAGTACTGCAGGGATCAGTGAATCATAGAATCCCTACAGCTTGAAAGCAGGCCACACCAATCCTCCTCAGAGCATCCCATCCAGACCCAGCCCCCTACCCTATCCCTGCATTTCTCACAGCCAATCCACCTAGCATGCACATCGCTTGGCCTATGGGCAATTTAGCATGGCCAATCCACCTAACCTGCACATCTTTGGACTTGCTTGGACCCCCCTTTTCACAATATATAGGAATGATTTAGATGAAGGAACTAAATGAATTATCTCTGAATTTGCCATTCCTGACTGTTCTACGTGATGAGGGACCTATTAGAATGGAAGTACAGCTCCACATTTCTAAAGCAGCCCTGAGCAGAATCTCCTGTCAGAAATACAGAGCTCTTTCATTGCATCAAAAAGGAGTGGTGTGGTAATCTGCATGAGGTAGCTATTCCTTGGAAAATCTGATTCATTGCTTCTTAAACTCCTCCCCTTTGGCCAAGTTTAGATTTGGTGAAACGGCCCCTTAGACCAGAAACTTAACCTGATTATCCACATAAATGCTGTGGATGCCAAGCAAGTCAGAAACAAGTGGCTCACCTCTTGACACTTCAGCACATACTGGGCATAAGTCAGAAGTATTCTCCACATTCCTGGATGGATACAGCTGCAGCCAAACTCAGGAGAAAGTAGTCTATTCAAACAACACTCTATATAACACCATAAGCACTGATTTTAATATTGCCACTGGTGTCACCATAACACGGTGTCTACTATTTACATGATGCACTGCAGCAATTTGTTAAAGCTTCTTTGACAGCCCGTCTCAAACTTCCAAGATCTAGAGTTACACAGGTAGCAGTGAATGCAAGGAACATAACTTCAACCTTTAAGTCACAAACAAGGATGTTGATTCGTATTCCCATTCCTTCACAGACACAGAATTAAAATCCTGGAAGATACTTTATAGCAGCATTGTGGAGGTACTGTCCTCACATAGACTGCATCAGGCCATCATGCTATTCTTGCGATCTTAGAAACATCAAAAATAGGAGCAGGAGTAGGCTATTCACCATTCAATATGATTATAGCCAATCATCTAACTCGGTACCATGTTCAGGCTTTCTCCCCATATCCTTTGATCCCATTAGCCCTAAAAACTTTATCCAACTTCCTTCCAAAAAACATTCAATATTTTGGACTCAATTATTTTTTGTGACACAGAATTCCAGAGGCTCATCATTGTCTGGGTGAAGAAGTTACTCCTCATCTCAATCCAAATGGCCTGCCCTGTATCCTTAGACTGAGAGACATGGTTCTGGACTCCCTGGTCATTAGGAACATCCTTCCTAGTTTACCCTGCCTAGTCCTGTTAGAATTTTATAGGTTTCTATGAGATCCTTCGTTCTAATAAACACCAAGAAATGTAGTTTTAACTGAAATTCAAACAGAAATTGCTGGGAAATCTCAGCAGGTCAGGCAGCATCTGTGAAGAGAAAGCAGAGTTAACATTTTGGGTCCAGTGACCTTTCTTCAGAATTGATTGTAGCTGGGGAAAGGTTGGTATTTTTGCTAAAGGTGGGGTGGAGAGAGGAGTAAACAATAGATGGAAATGAAGCACAGAGAGAGAGGGAGAGAGAGAAGAACAAAAGGACAGGCAAAGGAATGAATATAGGTCAGCTGGAGGAATCAGTAGCTGCCAATGGGGACCATTGCGTTGTGTGTGGTAGCAGCCCATGCGATGACAAGGCCTGGTATGTGGGGTCGGGGTAAGGTCATGGGAGAAAATGCCCAGACCTTAAAATTATTGAACTCGATATTGAGTCCTGAAGGCTGCAGAGACGCCAAGAGGAAAATGAGATGCCGTTCTTCCAGCTTGCACTGAGCTTCACTAGACCACTGCAGCAAACCCAAGACAGAGATGTTGGCCAGGGAAACACTGTTGAAGTGGAAGGCAGCAGAAAGCTCAGGGTCACTTTTTTCAGACAAAACATAAGTGTTCGACAAAGCAGTTGTAGAGTCATAGAGCCCTGCAGCATGTTTTTCCTCTCCATGTTTTTCCTCCAAATGCCTTTTAAATGTTGTTAATGTACCCACCTCAACCACTGCCGCTGACAGCTCATTCCATATGTGTAGCACCCTCTGTGTAAAAATGTTATCGGTCAGGTTCCCTTGTATGCTTTCCCCTCTTACCTTAATCTGATGCCCTCTAGTCCTTGATTCCCCAACCCTGGGAGAAGAAAACTGAGTGCATTCCCCTATCCATGCCTCTCGTTATCTTACACACTTCTTTAAGATCCCTCCTCAGTCTTCTATGCTCGAAAGAAAATGTCCTAGCTTGTCCAACCTCTCCGTATAACTCAGTGCCTTGATTCCTGGCAACATTTCCTGGTTAAATTTCTTTGGTACTGTGTCCAGTTTAATAACATCCTTCCTATAGCAAGATGGCCAAAACTGAACACAATACTCCAAGTGCGGCCTCACCAATGTCCTGTATAACTGCAACATAACTTCCCAACTTCTATACTCACTGCCCTGACTGATGAAGGCCAGTGTGCCAAATGCCTTCTTCACTGCCCTGTCTAGCTGTGATTCCACTTTCAGAGAACCGTGCACCTGAACTCCAAGGTCCCTCTGTTCCAGTACATTTCTTAGGGCCCAACCATTCACCATGAAACTCCTACCTTAATTTGACTTTCCAAAATGCAACACCTTGCACTTATCTATATTAAACTCCATTTGCATTTCTTGGCCCACTTCCCCAGCTGATCAAGATCCTGCTACAATTTCTGTTAAGCTTCCTCACTGTCCACGATATCACCTATTTTAGTGTCATCTGAAAACTTACTAATCATGCCTTGTACATCCTCATCCAAATCATTGCCCGGTTTGTGTTTCGTCTCCCCAATACCGCATTGTGAGCAGTGAATACAGCAGACTGAATTGAGGGAAGTATAAGCAAATCGATGTTTCACCTGGAAGTACCGACCACTACACTGTGGAGGCAAATCGGGAGCTCTTGGACACTTCCTCCCATCTCCCCCCGGACCATGACTCCACCATTGAACACCAGGCTATTGTGGACACAAGCCAAGAACTGGAGGTCCTATAATTATCAGAATTTCAGGTTTCTTTCAGTTGACGCTCACAGAATAAGAAAGCAGAAGTGAAAAGTCTTCATGTTCATATCTGCATGAATATCTAGTGCCTGTTATCTTCTCTTGCAGCTTTGTTTCTCCCTAACTACATGTGAACTGTGGATGTGATGCATGCACCAGTTACAAGATAGTTGATATTTTCTTTGTGTTTACATTTCAGAGTTGTTGGTGGTTTTGAGACCTTGACAGCAATGGAGAATGTGGAGAGTGACGTAAAGACTGACATGCCAAAGGTAAACCTAGTCTAAAGACAACATGACCTTTGAGAGCATAAGCTGGATTTTCCCAGGCAGGAGGCAGGTTGTGTACCTGGAAATCTCACCTCTGATTTGTCCCTTCTCCGTCTTGGCAAGGGAGGGGAGAACATGGGCTTCAGAACTGCCCTGCACATACCGTTACAGAGATCATGGAGATTAAAAACCCATCTCTTAAAAAATTTCTAGTAATCCCAGAGGAAGCCAGCATTTTTTCAGACTGGCTGAATGGAGGCAAAGGCCACCCTGTGGCTGGTCATAGACATTAATAAGGTGACAAAGAAAGATAAGAACACTTTCCAAAGTTTGAAGTGTTTAAATCTCTAAAGTTAAAGTTACAGAAGCCCATTGCAGTTCAGGAGTAGAGGTAGATTAAGAACTTTGCCAGTTCAGTGGTCATCACTTTTCTGGAATGATCCAAGCATCAGAGCAGTGGGCATGACGAGATTCCACCTGAGCATGAAGGCTGCAGATTGCAGTAGGTGCAGCACCGTCATATAATCAAAGCCAGTGGAGATGAGGCCTGTGTAGGACAAGCAGAGCACTGGGCACGAGGAGGTTGAAGGAGATGCACAAAAGGCACAAAAGAATTACCTTGAGAACAGGGTATATGAGCAGTAGCAAAGAGACCTCTGGGTGACTGAGATCAAGTGGCAAAGAAAGATGTGATTCACTGTGCAAAAAGCTAGAGACATATGTCCTTATCAGCTGCGCACCTCTGTGGCATCTCTGAGTTGGTTATATACTGGTACACACACTGGTTACAGGAGCCAGCTGCCCTCTTTACCAGTGCTGTGCAATACGCCACATTCATAACTGATGGAGCATCCCAAGCTCCAAGGATACTGGGTTCCCGCTGGACACCCGCTGAAATCATAGAGGAAGACAATGCTGAGCAGAAAGGTCCCCCCACCCTCCTTCAGGAAGAAGACCTTCCTCCTCTATCTCATCGATACCAGATCTCTGGGTACCGTGTGGCTTCTTGCTTCCCTATTGTGCAGTGGCAGGCTTTGACACAAACTCTCTCAGGACAACCAGTAGCCTCAGTGATAGTTGCCTTGGGATATGTAATCGACCCACCTTCCTGTTCCCGCTAGTTTTAATTGGACAGGAACATCTGAAATTCCACCAAAGATGAGTTTCTGACAGAAAAACAGACCTAGGTCCTGTTTCCCATCTTCAAGAGAAAATTCCAGCCCTTGCTTCTATTCTCCCCTTTTCTATCACATTATAATGTCCAGCTAGAGATTGATGTGCTATCTTCCAGTTGACGTAGCCATTGCTGGAATGAGTTCCAAGTTTTTCCCTCCTAAGATTTCTATCACACCAGCACTTTCATAATGATTCACTCTTCTTCCCTTGTATCATGCAGTAGTGCTCTGTGATTGCCATTGTGTGAAAGAATAACCTCATCCTTAGTTAATATACCCACAAATGTCCTGGCCTTTCACTGTGCTAATGCAAGCAGCACTCCCATGCTGAGGATGAATCCTCTTGCCTATATTGATGCCAAGGTATAATGAGGTCTTGGTGAATTTTTATTTTGTGAAACTGAAAATCTGATTGTAGCCTGATTAGAAGCACCTTTGTCCTGAAGCCTCCAATAGCAACAAGATATCTTTCTGTAGTGCCTTTCACATTGAAAAATGTTCCAAGGCACTTCACGTATGCATAATCAGAAACAGAAGTCATATGTCTGCAGCTCTCAATCCATCAGAATTCGGTTCCAAGGATTGCAAACTGCAGTAAAATATAAATAAATTTAAAACTAAGCTCTTGTGAATCAGCCTACTTCTATAGTTACTTTGAGTATATTGGGTCAACCTACTGTTAATGGACCATTATACCTGTGTACCTAACTTGAATTACTTGCCAGAAAGAGTGTTTTGGTCTAGTATCTTGAGAATACACTTCATGATATTGCCCATCCATCCATCTGTCAATACTCTCTAAGTGTCACAAATGTTTGAAGTATGAAAGCCATCCATACTACTTATAACAGGCTGAATCCCTTAAAAATTTGGATTAAGGTGGAATATCTGTCAAGACTCCAATCAATTCATAAGATGAAAGAAAGCCTGTATAGTTTTTCGTGTACATTAATATACTCGGTACTTACGTAAGAAACACTGTTGAAAAATCTTCCACATTAATTTTCAAAACAAAATTCAAAATAATCATGCATGACATGTCAGTCCTTCAATTGTAAACTGTTTCATGCTTTGCCCAAAATGTTCTAGCTGAGATCCAACATTAAATTCGTGAATCACATCTCAGCCCCAAATAGAACATTACTTCTGGTGAAAGAAATGGTGACTGAAATTTTGATTCTGAAACTTAATAAGTAGATGTAATTGAAGTATTTTATCAACCAGCATTACAGACCTTAATTTTACCACCCGCTGAAATCGTAGACAGCTGAGGATTTGGGCCAGAGGTTTCATGGCTGCATACACGTCATCTTGTATTAATGCTAATTCCCAGAAAGTGTGTGTTTCAAACTGCAGCAAAGTTAATTTAACATTCATATTCCCAACAGCTGAGCTTTTTTTTCCTCTCCACCTGTAGGAAGAGATCAAAATTGAGAAGACAGCAGTGTTTGTGGATCCTTTTGAAGAAGCAGATGTTTTGGTAAGTGCATGGCAAGAGATAATGATTTGCTAAGACATTATCTGCTTTAACCCTGCTCGAGTCCAATCTTAATGGTAATAAATCAAGTAAAATAAGCACATTATTTAAACCTGTATGGGCAATGAGACTTCTCAGCCAGCCTACCTTTAATGGAACATTGATCTTTGGTCAAATAGCTTATACTATCACAGAATCACCTTGTCTGAAATATTTGGCATAGAGAATGTGCCTATGACTCAGTTGGTAATACCTTTGTCTCAGAGTCAGAGGTTACAGATTCATGTCCCTTTTTGGACATTTCAGGACACAAATCTCAGCTGACAAGCCAGTGCATTACAGAGGGAGTATTGGACTGTCAGGGGTGCTGCTGAGGTTGAGTTTCTGAATGCTATCTCAGGTGAACATAAGGGATCCCATTGGCAGTATTTTGAAGCAGAGTGGGAAGTTATCCATGGTGTCCTGGCTATTATTTTTCCTTTAATCTATATCTCAGAGAAAGTGGAATAACTTTCATTATTGTATTGCTGTGTGGAAACTGGCTTCTGCATTTTCTAGATTTAAAAGGTCTCTCCATTTCAAAAAGACCTCGCTGGCTGCAAAGTGCATTGGAATGTTCTGAGGTTTTGAAGGGGCCTATATACAATAAAAGTCAGTCTTCCCTTTCCACCTTTTAAGAACAAAAGCTCCCACTGAGGCTCAGGAGTGAGCTTTGTATTCCTCAATATGTCAACAGAGATGTAGCAGAGCAGACATTTGAGACTTCTCCATTCAGTCTTTCACAGAGGCATCAGCTGGAACTGGGTGAGGAAAAGGCTGATGCTATCTAATGTTGCTGTATCAGTGGTGCTCCTGACTGAGTCTAGAGCAGAAGACAGCTGATTACATTGTGATCTTTAATTTCAGCACTATCAAGACCATGATACAGTAAAGAAATAACCTATATTTATGCAACACTTCTGTTGCATCCTAAGGATACTCCAAAGTAACTGACATTCAGTGAGTTATTTTTCAGGTTACCGTCACTGTTGTGGAGACAAACACTGCATTGTTTTAGGTGTTTCTGTAACTGTTTTAAAAAATAGTTAACTCAGTGAGTGTTGGTCCTGCAGGAACTGAGTGTGGGAATCAACAATGAAAACTACAGCAATGGCAGATAAACTGAACAGGTATTTTGTGTCAGTCATCACTGCACAGATAATATATCATCCCAGAGATAGCTGTAGTCAGGAAATAGAGAGGGAGAGGAACTTAGGAAAATTGCAATTACTAAGGAAGTGAGCAAAGAGTCTGAATCTCTTTTAGGTTCTTAAAAGAGATGGCAAGTTAGATAGTTGATGTGTTGGTTCTGATTTTCCAAAATTCTCCATAAGCAGCTTCCATTAAATTGGAAGTTAGTGAATGGAACTCCTTTATTCAAAGGGGGAAGATGATTTAAAGCAGGAAACTACATGCCAGTATTTTTCTTCACCGCTGTTATCAGACTTTTGAATGGACCGCTCAAATATTAATGTTGATCTTTTTCTCTCTCTGTACCTTCTCTGTGGCTGTAACACTGTATTCTGCCCTCTGTTCTGCTACCCTGATGCACTTTGTACAGTACGATCTGCCTACGTAGCACACGAAACAACACTTTTCACTGGATCTTGGTAAATGTGACAATAATAAATCAAATAAAATGCGGATGTCACTGGCTAGCCCAGCTTTTACTACCCATTTATAGATAGCTTAACATCTGTCGTAGGAAAATGTTAGAAGCTTGCAGGGCGTTTAAATAAAAATTAAGGAGATCAGGCAAAATCAACATGATTTTGTGAAAAGGAAGTCAAGTTTACTCAAATTTATTGAAGTTCTTTGAAGTAGTGATTCGCGCTGTAGATAAAGGGGAATCAGTGGATGTATTGTACTTGGATTTCCAGAAGGCATTTGATAAGTTACCACAGCAAAAGTTGTTGCAGAAAATAAAGACTCATGGAGTAAGGAGTAACATATTGACATAGATATACGATTGACTAGCCTACAGAGAGCAGAATCAGCGCAATTGAGTCTTTTTCTGATTGGCAGAATGTTACATATGGTGCACCACCAGCATTAGCAATTTTTGTGATTTGTATAAATTACTTGAATGATGGTACCAACGATATGGTTGCTGAATTTACTGATGATGCAAAGATTGAAAAGTAAGCTGTAAACAGGATCTAAAAAGGCTCCAAAGGGATATGGATAGATTCAAAAGGTTAAATGAGTGGCAGAGATCTCGCAAATGGAGTATAATGTAGGAAAATGTGAAATTAACCATCTTGGGACGAAGAATAATAAAAGAAGCATATTACCAAATTTTCAGTGAGTACAGAACTGAGAGCTGCTGGGAGATCTGGGCATCCTAGTGCCCAAATTGTGAAAGGTATTGGTGAGATCACATCTGGAGTAACATATAAGGTATAGCTGTCCTTATTTTAGGAAGTATTTAAATGCACTAGAAGCAGTTCAAAGCAGTTCATACCTGGATTGGTTGGAGTTTCTAATGAGAAAAGGTCAGACAGGGTTTAGAAGAGAGAACTTGATTAAAATATGTAAGATCTTGAGGGGAACTTGACAGGTTGGATGTGGGGAGGATGTTTCTTCTTGTGGGGGAAACTTAGAACAAGGGGTCACTGTTTAAAAATCAAGGATCACTCATTTAAAACAGATGCAATTTTTTTTCCCCTCTGGGAGTCGTAGCTGTCTTCCTCAAAAGTGGAAGCAGAATCTTTTAATTTTTTTAAGGCAGTGGGAGATAGATCCTTGATGAGCAAGTGGGTGAAAGCTTATCAGGGGTGGATGGAAACGTGGAATCAATATTACAGTCAGATCAGCCATGATCTTATTATGTAGAGGAACACATCTGAAGAACCAAATAGCCTACAGTGAATCCTAACTCAAATGTTTATATGTTTTGAATTAATATAAATTACAACCAATAGGAAGGATATTTTAGGGATGAAAAGACAACAGTATGTGGCATCAAAGCCCCTCCCACCACTCCCCTTTTGAACGACACTTAATGGCAGATGGAATGTAGCAGATTAACCGGAGTGTGTTGGATTATAGTCCACAAAGGCTTGAATGAAGCTTTCAGCAGCAGATGTGGATGTCGAAATAGGCAAATAGAAAATGTGTTGAAACTCGGTCTGGGGTCAGTTATGATGCCAGGGTTGCAAACTGCCTGATTCAGCCTGAGGCAATTACCAGGGAGAGGGATAGAGTCAGTGGCCAGGGAGCAGTCTTTGTGAAAGGGACTGAAGACACTCTGCCTTCTCAATCTTTAGTTGTGAGGCAATTTCTGTTCATCTATTGGGCAAGCAATGTGACAATTTAGAAACTGCAGAGGAGGGTGAGAGAAGTGATTCTGAGATGGAGCTGGATGGTATTGGTGTATATGTGGAAAGCGACCGTAGCACGTATGTAAGGATAAGGGGCTATAGTAGCGCAATGGTACCATCCCTACCTTTGAGCCTGAAGACCTGGGTTCAGGCTCTTGTGGTACAGTGCCCTTTCCTCTGAGCCAGGAGGACTGGGTTTGTCCCACCTGCTGTGAAGTGTGTCATGACATCTCTATACAGGTTGATGAGAAAATATCTATAAGTGAGGGAAAAAGATGATATATCCTTGGGAATGGTCTGCAAGTGTGTAGGGAAGCCTTTACATCTGGCTGTGTCTGGATTGTTTTAGAATGGAACCAGCAAGTGCAGACCCCTCAACAAGGCCATAGCAGAGGGGCTTTACAGGAGGATGATATGATTAACCATGTCTATGACTGCAGGCACACCAAGAAAGTAAGGAAGGATCTTTATCGCAGTCACATTAGATGTTATTTGTGATTCTGGTAAGAACAGCTTCAGTATTTTGGCTGGGGAGAAACCCAATTGGAGGAATTCAAATGTGGAGTACTAGGAAAGATAGTCATGGACTTCAGGAAGCAACATCATGTTTACAGACTTTGAACAGGAAAGGGAACTGGGCAAGTAATTCACTCGGTCTGGAGCATCAAGATTTATTTTACTTTTTGAGTTGAGATAACTTTGAAGGAGAGGAGGACATTAGCTGAGGGGAAAGAACTGTTAACAGTATCTACTAACAGAGGAGTCAGGAAAGAAGGTGCATGGCCAGTACTTTAGTGGGAGTAGGGTGAAGGGAACAGGAAGTAGGCTTTCATAGGCAAGATGAACTTGGACAGGGCAGCTTTAGGGCTAGATCAGGGAAGTGGTAACAACAGCTGAGAAGGTCTCAATCAGACGGAGGAGTTTAATAAGAAATTTTGCTATGGAGGGAAAGAAGCCAGGCAGTACCTCTGCAGCTAGAGCAGAAGCCAGAAGTGCATTATGTGGACAAGACAAAATCAGTTATTAACCATATTCATCAAAATGTATCGTGAACTGAATATTGTTAATTCCTGTTGCAGTCACCTTGACGTTTCTGCATAATTAACTTTTCAGTATGCCCTGAAATTTATTTTAAACGGACACGATGCAGATCAGACCTCACCTTCAAAATTAAATGCATAACAAAAATTGTGATCTGGTTGAACATATTTGGATTTTTATTGAGCTTCCAACTAAACAGTGTGCCAGTGAGCTTACTGGGAGAGTTGCCTGAGTGTTTCTGAAGCAGAAAGTGTAAAAAGCCAATTGGCCTGCACAGTTGAAGCATCCTGGTTAATAACAATATTTGCACTTCTTTTCACTGTTTGACTCGATAACTTCTAATTGACATTTTCCCCACTGGTGTTATTTGTACCTACTGCATGACCAGTATGGTATGATGGAGTTTAGCAGATCTTTTCATACCAACAAGGAGAAAAGCACTATTCTTGATCCTGATCATATCATCACTTTGATTCAATGTAAACTTCAAGTTGTTTCATTGAGTGTTTAGAAACCACAGAAAGAAGCATTACCAAATATTTTAAAATGGAGACCATCGTTTTTAATCTGCATTAATTAGTAGCAGTCTGCCCTTTCTATAGGGCCTTTCTGACATGGAACCGCTTTGGTTAGAACTGATGACATGCAAAAGATCCAACTCATTTTCTAACCAAGGAATGATTTGGTTAAGTATCAAGGGCTATATTAGTGGATTCAGATTAATCCAAATTGCCAAACAGAACTAGCCTAGTGAATTTCCATTGACCTTCAAGCCTGTTGCAGTCAGGGGTTACAGATTGAGGACATTAACCTGTGTCAGCACAATGACTGCAGGATGAATGTTGAATATTATAGAGTGAAAGCATCATTTAGTGGAGGTGGATATTACAAGACAAAACCATTGTATATATATATTAAAAGGTTGTATATATATATACAGGGTGAAAGTGTCACTTATTGTGAAAGTTACATTACCACTTGTTTCTTTGTTGTCAGATCGCAGAAGAACGGGAGAAAGCTCGGAACAAGGAGGAAGAGGCAAAAGCCAAAGCAATGCCAGTTGTGCCTAAACGTAGTTCAAACGATGGTCCAAAAACCTACCGGCAAGGTGTTGGGAAATACATTAACATGGCAGCTACGTAAGTGAAGTTTTCCATTCTCAAAGCACTTTAAAACTCTGAAACCTTCACAGCAAATGTGCAAGGAAAATAAGACACTTGTTCTAGCAACATGGGAAGGCGATGGTCTAGTGGTATTATTGCTAGATTATTAATCGAAAGGCCCAGATAATGTCTGGGGACCCAGGTTCAAATCCTGCCAGGGAGGTTAGTGGAATTTGAATTCAATTTAAAAAACCTGGAATTAAGAGTCTACTGATGACCATGAAATCATTGTCGATTGTCGGAAAAATCCATTTCATTTACTAATGTCCTTCGGGAAGGAAATCTGCCATCCTGGTCTGGCCTACATGTAACTCCAGACCCACAGCAAGCCATTAAGTTGTACCAGTTGCTACAAAGTCTTAAACAAATGAAACTGGATGGACCACCTAGCATTGACCTAGGCACCAGAAAAGACAATGGCAGAAACAGCCCTGTCAACCCTGCAAAGTTCTCCTCACTAACATCTGGGGGCTAGTGCCAAAATTGGGAGAGCTGTCTCTCAGACTAGTCAAGCAACAGCCTGACATAGTCATACTCACAGAATCATACCTTACAGACAATGTTCCAGACATCACCATCCCTGGATGCGTCCTGTCTCACCGGCAGGACAGATCCAGCAAAGGTAGCAGCACAGTGGTATACAGTCGGGAGGAAGTTGCTCTGGGAGTCCTCGACATTGACTCCGGACCCCATGAAGTCTCATGGCTTCAGGTTACACATTGGCAAGGAAACCTCCTGATTGCCACGTCCCGTCCTCCCTCAGCTGATGAATGGTATTCCTCCAGATTGAACAATACTCAGAGGAAGCACTAGGATGGCAAGGGCACAAAATGTACTCTGGGTGGGGGATTTCAATGTCCACCACCAAGTGTTGCTCGGCAGCAGAACTACTGATTAAGCCGATAAGGTATTAAGGGACATAGCTGCTAGACTGGGTCTGCAGCAGGTGATGAGGGAACCAGCAAGAGGGAAGAACATACCTGACCTCATCCTTACCAATCTGCCAGCTGCAGGTGCATCTGTCCATGACAGTATCGGTAAGAATGACCACATTGAGAATAACTTCCATCATGGTGTGTGGCACTGTCACCGTGCTAAATGGGACAGAATTTGAACAAATCTAGCAAATCAAGACTGGGCATCCATGAGGTGCTGTGGGCCATCAACAGCAGCAGAACTGTACTCCAGCACAATCTGCAAACTCATGGCCTGGCATATCCATCAAGCCAGGGGATTCGACCCTGGTTTAATGGAGAGTGCAGGGAGACAAGCCAGGAGCAGCACCAGGCATTCCTGAAGATGAGGTATCAACCTGGTGAAGCCACCAAATAAGGCTACCTGCATGCCAAACAGCAGAAGCAGCAAGTGATAGAGCTAAGTTCTGCAGTCCTCCCACATCCAGTCGTGAACGGTGGATGGTTAAACAGCTCATAGGATGAGGAGGCTGCACAAATATCCCCATCCTCAATAATGGAAGAGCCCAGCACGTTAGTGCAAAACATAAGGCTGAAGTTTTTGCAGCAATCTTCAGCCAGAAGTGCTGAGTGGATGATGCACCTCGGCCTCCTCCAGTGGTCACCAGCACTACAGATACCAGTCTTCAGCCAATTTGATTCACTCCAGGAGATATAAAGTAATGGTTGGAGGCACTGAATACTGCAAAGGCTATGAGGTGTGATAACTGAAGACTTGTGCTCCAGAACTTGTGCTCCCCTATCCAAGCTATTCCAGTAGTTACAACACTGGTATCTGCCCAGCAATGTGGAAAATTGCCCACGTATGTCCTGTATATAAAAAGCAGGACAAATCCAACCCGGCCAATTACCGCCCCATCAGTCTACTCTCAATCATCAGAAAAGTGATGGAAGGTGTCATCAGCAGTGCTATCAATCAGCCCCTGCTCAGCACTAACCTGCTCAGTGACGCCCAGTTTGGGCCCACTAGGGCCACTCAGCTCCTGACCTCATTACAGACTTGGTTCAAACATGGACCAAAGAGCTGAATTCCAGAGGTGAGGTGAGAGTGACAGCCCTTGACATCAAGGCTGCATTCAAGTGTGGAATCAAGGAGCCCTAACAAAACTGGAATCAATGGGTATCAGGGGACATCGATCCAGTGGTTGGAGTCATACCTGACACATAGAAAGATGGTCGTGGTTATCGGAGATCAGTCATCTCAGCTCCAGGACATCTCTGGAGGAGCTCCTCAGGGTAGTATCCTAGGCCCAACCATCTACAGCTGCTTCATCAATGACCTTCCCTTCATCATAAGGTCAGAAGTGGGGATGTTCACTGATGATTGCACAATGTTCAGCACCATTTGCGACTCCTCAGATACAGAAGCAGTCCATGCTCAAAAAACAACATCCAGGTTTGGGCTGACAAGTGGCAAGTAACACTTGTGCCACATACATGCCAAGCTATGACTATCACCAATAAGAGACAACCCAACCACCGCCCCTTGACATTCAATAGTGTTACCATCACTGAATCCACCCTTATCAACATCCTTCAGATTATCATTGATCAGAAACTCAACTGGACTCACTACATAAACGCAGTGGCTACAAGAGCAGGTCAGAGGCTAGGAATACTGCAGCGAGTAACTCAGCACCTGACTCCCCCAGAGCCGTGTCCATCATCGACAAGTCAGAAGTCAGGAGTGTGATGGAATACTCCCCACTTGCTTGGACGGATGCAGCCCCGACAACACTCAAGAAGCTTGACACCATCCAGGACAGAGCAGCCCACTTGATGGCACTGCACCCACAAGCATTCATTCCTTCCATCACAGATGCTCAGTAGCAGCAGTGTGTACTATTTACAAGATGCACTGCAGAAATTCACTAAAGATCCTCAGACAGCACCTTCCAAACCCATGACTATCTCCATCTAGAAGGACCAGGCAGGGGATATATGGGAACACCACCACCTTCAAGTTCTCCTCCAAGCCACTCATCATTCTGACTTGGAAATATATTACTGTTCTTTCAAGGTTGTTGGGTCAAAATCCTGGAATTCCCTCCCTAATGGCATTGTGGGTCAACCCAGAGCAGGTGGACTGCAGCGGTTCAAGAAGGCAGCTCACCACCACATTCTCAAGTACAACTAGGGATAGGCAATAAGTTCTGGCTAGCCAACCATGCCCACATCCCACAAAATGAATAAATAAAACAAAACTAGAAGTGTCAGCAGAAGCTGTGAAGGAGAGTCACAGGACACGAAATGTTAACTCTGCTTTCTCTTTAAGGTCTTTGCAAAAGTTTGCAGCTCGGTTTGTGGGTGAGGTTGTTGACTTGCTCACTGAGCTGGCTTGTTTTTGTTCAGACATTTTGTCACTAGGTACCGTCATCAGTGAGGCCTCCGATGAAGCGATACTGTTCTACTCTGCTTGGAATTTATACTGTCCAGTCTGTTATGATGAGTTGTGTCATTTCCGGTTCTGATCTGTATGGGTTTGTACATGGGGTCCAATTCTGTATGTTTGTTGATTGCATTATGGGTTGAGAACCATGCCTCTGGGAAGTGCCGTGCGTATCTGTGTTTGACTTGGGCTACTACGTTGTTCATAGTAACCCAAGCCAAACATAGACACGCACGGGAATTCCTAGAGGCATGGTTCTCAACCCATAACGCAATCAACAAACATATAGAATTGGACCCCATATACAAACCCATACAGAACAAAACCGGAAATGACACTACTCATCATAACAGAAGCAGAGCAACTTTGGGTACTATCTGCCCCATAACTTCTAATACTGCTCCACAATAAATGATGAAAGGTGCAGAAAAAAAGAGAACGGCATATGTTTAAAATTTGTAAATACTGGAAATGGACAGCAGTTCAATCAATATCAATAAAGGGAACAAATATCTTGAGTGTACCCTCATTAAAATGGTTTTGCTGAAGGCTGCACACCAAAATGTCATGACCTAATGCTGACAGGCCAATGTGTGTTTCCAACATTTTCTGATAGGATAGCAGTTGGCATTGCCTGAAATAATTGTCTTAGGTGGACAGTCTCTTAGTTTTAGTCGTATGTAGCTCTGAGACCACATCAGTCACATCACAATTGGACAGCAAGCTCTCTTTCATGTTTGCAGTTAAGAGCCCTCCGATGACACGTTTTACTTTGAAACTGCAAACACTCTGTATCTGCTACAGAACACTCTCATATGCGGTTTACCCACCTCTAGATTCTGTGTACTTCTCCCTCCTTCAGCCTGAAGTACAGGCTTAATGTGTGAATAACTGCTGGCTTTGTAACTTTGACTCGCTTGTAGGATGTATTTTCTCGCCAATTCCATCACAATTCAGCCCAACCTGAAAATCACCAGTCCTTCTGCTATAGAGAAAGACCGAATCTCTTTAGATATGGCACTTGTTGCATAAGAAAACAAAGTCCTGGAGATACAATTCTTGACTAATTATGTCCACAGATATCTGATTATATTATCCCTGTGATCAATTGATGACAATAACAACTGGCATTAATCTAATGCTTTTAACACAGTAAAATATCCCAAGGTGATCCACGAGATGAATCTGCTAAGTTTTGACACCCAGCCAGTGTTCCTCTGAGCAACACAGATGCACTGCCACACTATAATAAACAGGCTGCACACAACCAGTATTTGTTTAAGAAGCTGTCGCCATGACCACTTGATACATGTCAATGCCTGTTCAGTATGATAAACTAACACACATTTTCAAAAATGAAAGGAACCATTATAAGTCACATAAGGGAGATATTCGGACAGATGATCAGAAGTATGGTCGCAGAGGTATGTTTCAAGGAGGACCTTTAAAGGAGGAGGGCCTCCTGGCAGATTCAGTGCAGTAATTTTAGGGTTTAGGGTTCAAGCAGCTGAAAGCACAGCCACAAATGTTAGAGCAATAAAAACTGGGACAGTTCTAGGGACAACGCATACTTTCTTTGGAAATCCAAACTGGAGAAAATGGAAGTTTAGTCTGCTTTTTTTTGCAGAGAATAAACAAATTTTTTGTGTACCTTGAAGGTAAGTAAAACTACATGTTTACTTAATGATTACACAAAGATATGTATTTTCTGAAGAAGCTGGATTTTGTTATTTTTGTAGGACATGCCGGCACCAAATGTCTTTGAAACTAAAATAAAACGGTGCAACAACAGGATCTGGATTGGTTGTATGTGTCAGATTGGGGGTGGGAGATCAGTTGTAACACAGACTTGTAAAAAGCCTGCAGTAATCCAAATCACTCTTTCTCTCACTCTACCTCTTGAAGTGCCAAAGAAAAATGCTGAAAGACTTTGCAAAGAAAAGAAAACCTATAACCTAAGTCAAGACCTAGGTCCAACTGACCAGCTACAAGTTGTGACTTGTCACAGTTGACAACAACAAGATATCATCACCAAAATGAAAACTGAAACCTGAAAAGTCAGTTTATTCCACCCCTTTTAGCCTGGACTTTGGTCCACAAACTTCCTGGGTTTTTTTTGTGTCCGTATTTTCCAGCACCGATACTCCTAAAAAGGCTGTTTGTCTCAACTGTCTGTCCGAAATGTGTGTGTTTGGATTTAAAGACAATACAGTTCAAGCTTGCATATTAGTAGTAGATAATATTTTTGTCATGTTAGAGGATAGATTTGTGCAATAAGCAAGCATTTTTCACTTTTTGTTCCTTGTTGAAACCTGTTCAGGGTTGTTTTTTATCTTAGTTAATACTGACAGTTGGGCATCAAACATCGTAGAGATGAAAAGGTCTGCTTCCATGCTGTATGACTCTATAATTCATACTCATGATGACTTGTGGCATACTGGGACTTGATTTCCATTGCACTATTGACCACAGGGACATGACAATACAAAGCCACAATTGCAGGAGTGATCTAGTTGGGGGAGGTTACAGAGACAGAGTTGAGTGAGACCGTGAATGAATTTGAAAACAAGAACGAACATTTAAAATCAGAGATGACAGATTCTGTTGAGTGCTCCGGTTTATATGTTGAGCTCCTTTCCCATTGTCCTCCTATCATTATTTTCACACCTTTCTTTTCTATGCCAGAAAACGAGTGGCAGTGGATCAAGATAGCAGTCCATCCACCAGCAGCAGCAAAAAAATTAAAGGCATTACTGGCTTTGGCAACTTCAGCTCGTGGTAGGACTGACACAAACAGCAAGTGAAGAGACCAGCAGCAGACAGCAGCGTTGGCATTCAACCCTACAAGATCTCTTTCACATTCAAAAGACCTAAAAGATCAAAGGTTGCCAAAGAAGTGACTGAATTTCTATGTAAAGGAATCTTCCTGAAATAGGTAAATGTAGTGAGGTAGAGAAAGTTACAGTTTCCATTTTCAGTGTATATGAGAATGTTGCATTTGTTTCCTTGATGATGGGCCAGGTTCTGCACATTATTGCAATCTGGCTGCACACAGATGATGTGATTAGTTATCATTTCTCTTTTTATGTAAAAAGATATAAATTTCTCATTTGCTGCATCAATTAAACTCAGTTGGTTTCTTAGCTGAGCTGATTCATCCTGCTGTGCGATCCTATTGAGTTCAGACTTCCTTGTAATGAAACTAACCAGGTGTAAATTGAAACATAGAAAATAGGTGCAGGAGTAGGCCATTCGGCCCTTCAAGCTTGCACCACCATTCAATATGATCATGGCTGATGTAATCTCAGTACCCCATTCCTGCCCTCTCCCCATACCCCTTGATCCCTTTAGCTGCAAGAGCCATGTGTTTATTTCCATTGCAGTGAGCAACTGGCACTACCACTAACCATATGTTTCAAAACAAGTTCATTTTACATTCATAAAGTTATTGAAACATTTCAGAGAGCTCTTCCTGCTCCAGTGACTTCAGCCGCTTTACTGAAGGATTAACAAGCCTCAATGTGAGTAATGTGGTTACAATAAAAGGACTTTAGACATCAAAGTGGTCTGATCTAAATATGTTGAAGCAGAAAGTGGGTCACTTGAATTAATTTGAGTCCACACACTGCTGTTCGGCTGCTTCAACAGGCCTCAGTAGCAATGTTGAATTTCACTTAGAAGTACCCAATTGAGTAAGATTGAAAGTACACATGAGGTTCTTTTCCCCCTCATTTCCTACTGGGAACAGAGAACATTGCATGCTTGTCAATCAGAAGGCTTATTTTCAGCCAGAAATCATGGGCTCTGTGGAACCCCACATTGGATAGTTTGGGACAGGGCTCAAATCTGAATCATCCTCAAATTTTCAAGTACAAGTGATTATAATTATTAGTATAAAAACTGAAAGAACTGCAGATGCTGTAAGTCAGGAACAAAAACGGAAGTTGTTGAAAAAGCTGAGCAGGTCTGGCAGCATCTGTGAAGAGAAAATCAGAGTTAACATTTCAGGTCCAGTGACCCTTCCTCAGAACTAGTTTGGATTGGATTAAAAACTGAGGGATGTTTATTTCTTATTAAATGCCACATTGCCCATCCTAGTCCCTCAGAGGTACTGAGGGGAACTGATTCCTAGACCATTGCATTTCTGAGATGGTGTTTTTGCAATGCTGTTAGGCAGGGTATTCTAGCACATTAAACCAGTGATAGTGAAGTGATGCTTCTGTTTGTTAACGTCAGAATGTTGTGGGCTGTGGTGCTGTTTCCTCAACATCGCTGCTCTTTAACAGCTGAAGTAACAGGAAAGAACTGCTGTCAAAGACACCTTGGTGAGCACCTGTGAATTCTGTTGAGCATATATAATGCAGCCATAGTATGCCAGTAATGAAGAAGTGGGTACTTTCACTCTGACTCCCATGGACCTCAGCTTGTTTAGAGCTCCTTGATACCACACTTAATCAATTGCTAACTTGACATTGAGGGCAGCTAATCGTACCTCTCCTCCCAAACAACATTTACTTTCATGTCTGGATCCATCTGGTGACTGGATTCAGTGAGCCGGTTATTGGTGTCACTTGATGGTGTTCTTGAGGACTAATTTAATCACTCTTGAGGGACAGCCAGGAACAGAATAACTATTACCTGCAGTTTATTGAACAAGGACATGCCCTGACAATCCTGTACATCATCAGGTAGATGCCAATGTCACAGGAGCAATGAAATAGTTTGGCCTGTAAACAGGTATTCAACGTTACAACCAGGATATTGTCAGTATTCTTGGCTGTGCCCATTGAAATCAATCACTTCCTAATATCATCAGTATGCCATATTAGTTGGGCACTGGCATTATGTGGTGGTCAAGGCTTCGGGAGGAAGCTGAGCAGTATTGTCCACTCTCAGATTCTTTATCCTTCAATTTTACTTGTGCACTAGCTGCTAACAATTGAGAATGTTTATGGGATATCATGCGAGATTATTCACAAAAACATTAATTCAGTTAATTAACGGTTTTCACCAAATGTATTCATGCTATAATGCGATATAAACTTGGAGATGGACAAGACTTGGTGCATGTTTGCATATAGCCGGTAACATTTCTGATAACTGTATTACATAGCTGTTCTGAGAATGTGTGCAAATATAGCTGCTATTTACAATAGGCTTCTGCATTAGATTTTCACATGTTGTCTGTATAGACCAAGCTGTCAAGCAAGCAGATTGACTGGAATCAATCCCAAACCAGGTAGATAGTCAGGAGCTGCTTCTTGGACTAAAGTGCCTCTTTGCAAACATTGTAATCATAAAGATTCTCTCCAGTGTGAAGCAGCAGCTAGCAGTAACTAAGATTTTAAATGATTCATATGCAAAGGTATTAAAATATATGTACATTTTCTTCTTCCTAATAACATGACAAAATCCCACTGTCATAGATGTCTTAAAAAAATCCCCTCCCTAATCTGGAATGTAATGTACAACGATCCATTATCACAAAACTAGCAATAGTTAGTACTAGATTGATGGATCAGTCACTAGCTATACCTGACCTGGATCACGAGATCCTGATAACATACTAAAATTATATTCTCACCATAAATGAAGAGAAAAACAAATCATTAAAGAAATTTACATTTGAAAGTTCTATGAAGAAATGTATTGTTATAATAGTCATGTATCGTAAAATATGAATCATAATCTATTTAGAAGGTTAATTGATTGTAATTTTATGTATATGGTCAAAGTTGTCACTTATGGAGCAGAATTTCAATTGCTGAGCTCTCTCCCTGATATTTTCCAAAGTATAAACACAGCTAGTCAGAATGTACACCAGAGGGAGTCTTTTATTATTCATACTTGGGACATAATTGCTGCTAGCAAGATCAACATTTGTTGCCTATTCGTAATTGCCCTTGAGAAGGTGGTAGCGAGCTGCTTTCTTGGGCTATTGCTGCCCATTCTAGGTTTCCGATGCAATAACAGTGAAGGAACAGCAATATGGTTCCCAATCAGGAATGATGTGTGGTTTGGAACGTAACTTTCCCCAGATGGTGTCCCCACACATTTCCTGCCTTTGTCCATCTACGTGATAAAGATCATGGTTTGGAAAGTGTTATCAAAAGATTCTTGGCCAGTTGCTCATTTCCAAGTTTAGTCTTTTGGTCGTTCGTCTAGTTTCTAATGTTAACTTTGTGACCTTTCACTTTTATCCTGTCACAGGAAAGAATGTAGGCTCGTTGGGCTAAATAACATTGCCTTTTAAACATTTTAGACAAACATGCTGCACTGGAGAGGTGTAATAATTGGGTGAAAGGGAGGTGAAACAAACCACATGGTAGAAGTTAGCCGGTAGGGGTTTGAGGGCATCACTTTTGTAGAAGAGAATCACTGCCGGTTTGGCACTACTGGTAAGAGAGATGGAATCCAGATCCAAAAGCATTGACACCAAAGAGTGATAACACCAGAACCTGTCTGTTGTGGACAATGACGAGACTGACAATTTCAAATCATTGTCAGCTGCTGTGACTGCAGCACCATGTAGCTGAGTTTTGAGTACACGTAGGTAACCTTAGCACAAACGCAGCATGTATCTGTCATGCACTTTGCTCTGTTACTGTACCTGCCACTAACGCCATAATTGTATCTGGTTTTTGCCTACTTTGAGTAAGAGTGCTCTCGTCCCAAGTATCAGGTTCATGTGCAACTTGGGGTGAAGATTACCCTAGCTACAGTCTGTACTTTGAAAGTGTTGGGCTCCTGAATGCTGGGTATCCAGGCTCTACTTGCAAATGGCTCTGACCACAACTTACTTCTGTTACTCAAGTGTAATGTCATTCCTCACTTTAGCTTGGTGCCAGCAGGGAAAAAAATTATAAGACTAAATTAATGTTCCTGAAGAATAATGCACAGTCAACTACATCAGATATTGGGTTGGTCTTGGGGCTTGCTTCAAGATAAAAATTAGATGTCATTGTGCCTGATTAGAAAGAAGAAATCTGCATTTATGTATCACCTGTTACGTTTACACTCTAGTTATTGGTCTTGGAGTCAAATTTAACAAACATCATAAACAGTAAATGACCAGGTAGTTCTGAGCAGTTCTGAGGAAGGGTCACCGGACCTGAAACGTTAACTCTGTTTTCTCCTTCACAGATGCTGCCAGCCCTGCTGAGCTTTTCCATCAACTTTGTTTTTGTTCTTGAGTTTGATGGTGCTGTTGGTTTGGGAAAGGGATAATCAGATCTTTTAGATCTGCCAGAAAAAGCAGATCAGCCTTTGTTTATGCATCAACCAGAGGGCCTGCAAAGCCAAGTCATAGAATCTCTATCGCGTGGGAGCAGGCTATTCAGCCCATCAAGTCCACACCAACTGTCTGAAGAGCATCGCACCCAGACCTTCCCTGTCCCTGTAACTCTGCGTTACCCATGGCTAATCCACCTAACCTGCACATTTTTGGACTGTGGGAGGAAATCCAGGCAGAACATGCAAAGTCACCTAAGGGTGGAATCAAACCTGGGTCTCTGGTGCTGTAAGGCAGCAGCGCTAACTACTGAGCCATCGTGCCACAGTGTAGCTTAGAAGTGTTTTTTTTTTAAAGCACATCAGTATTTGTTTCGGATCAATAATTCTTTCTTTGTAATCATTTAAGTAAACCAAGCCTTAACTTTAATGGCCTAATCTACCAAGATTTAAGCATGATTTAAATTTCCAATTTATTTATTTTAATGAGCCAGCTCTGTTGTAAATCTGTGTTCCAAATAAATTTGGTGGAACCATTTATTCATAAGGCTGTCAATAGTGTTGTATATCACCCAGAGTAGAGATTTGTTGATGTTGTCATCAGCAGAGAGAGGAAAAACTGATCCTTGCGTAGTCTTTGCATTTTAATGATTTTTGTTAAATAATATTCCCAAATATAACTAAATAATTTAAATCGCTTTCAGATTCTAATCAGTGTGAGGATGTTGACTATAAATCGAGGGAACTAATTTACCTATTTGAACTGTTATAGGAACCTCCAGCTCAACTGCATTTATGCTTCTAGCAGCAAAGGGAATTCTCAACAGTTTGTGTGATTTGGAGTTAAACCAGGAAACTTCTATTTCTGGTTGACCTTAAATTAGACAAGTCCAAGAGCTTACTAGTCACATACCGGCCTCTAAATAGAAGCATTTCTAAAGATAGAAAGAACTAGGATTTATATAGTGTCTTATCACATCACTTAATTGTCCCAAAGCACTTCACAGGCAATGAAGTACTTTGCCACTGTTATGCAGACAAGCAAATGATTACTTGTATAGTCAAGTTGTTGAAAGCCAATGTGACCTCACTGAATTTTGTTCACCACTGGGACCGAATACGAACATCCATAAAAAGCCGAGTCAGTGGAAATAACTTATGCATATACAGTAGACTCTGCTATGCAGCAGAAATACAGATATGGTGTTATTTTCATTCACCTGACGTGATGGTCAGAGAACTGAACTGTGCTATAATCTGAGTAAACCAAAGCAAACCCCTACTACATCAGCAAAAACAAAGGAATTTACATTAAGTCTGTAATGTTATAAA